ATAGTGGATTGCTTCTTCATTTCTTCACAAATCTAGTAAACACATTAAGCAAAATGCAGTAAAAATTAATCTTATATTAGAAAAGGAAAAGAGAAAAAAAGTCTGTGGTGCAGATGCACTCAGCTGATTGATGTTTATTAATATTTAACAATGTCAAAGACTGTTTTACCTGACACATTGTGTACATTAAAGTTTTTGATTAATTTCATGAGATGATTTATTTTGTTAACTTTATTGCTCATTTTTGTGCAAAGTTTGAGTTATCTTGTTGTTACTAATACTCACTTGTCTGACCTATAGTCAGCCCATGCCCACGAAATTTTTTGTGACAAGGAGCGCAAGTTTACGCCTGTCGTTAGCAACAGCTTTGAGCACCTTACAGGTAATAGTGGGATTTAGCTCAGTTCCACCAGCAGTTTTAATGAACAGCCCCCTGGAGGGGACGAGTCTAAGGGTCTCCCACCCCTCTTACCCTACCTAGTAACCTCTTAAGAGTACTTTTGGCTCACGGCATATTTAGAGTGTTCCCATGCTGCAGGGACACTATTACATTTACATTCGTGCCTTTTCCAGGATTCGAACTCGGACTCTTCAGCACAGCAGTCAGTGACACTAACCACTATACCAGTTGGGCAGCGAGTTATATGTTGTGAAATAATTAACCTACTTTCATATAATCTTTATTTAATATTATTAATTTCATCTTATCTTTGAGTCTCAACTTTAAAAGTTTGATTTATTCTCTACTTTCTAATTCTTTCATTCTCATCCAGATCATGTGTTTGCTTATTTGATTCATAAGAGAATTTGATGCTTACCTAGTTAGTACAAGATGAACAAACACTTTTCCCAGCATTTTTCATGGATAAAGTTTACCTGAAAAAGTAATTCAAGGCACATGTGGGCTTCATGAATCAGTCTACTAAGATTGTTAGTTCCTTGTCACAATATAAGTTGATACTGAGCCCTAATCAATATTGTTATGAATTTTGTATTTAGTTAGATAATTTTAGTAGAATTATTATTAAAATTGTTTTATTTCCCCATGCAATGCAGTACGTGATGAGTTTTTAAGCTACAAAAAAGTAAAAATACAGGAGCATGTGCATTTAACATTGAACAAAAGTCTATCTCGGTAATTTATATTCAATTTGAATAAAATTAATTGACTTCTTATTTAGCTGTAACCGTAATTCTACTCTCTTGCTTTCCAGAAATCTCGAGAAGCAGAAATTACTAGAATCTCACGTGACCAATTTAAAAGTTATAAAAAGCCGGAGAGAGACAGTTGTTGTTGTTTAGTTAGTTGCTGTTGTTATTATTGATCAGATTAGCTTTCTCTGCAATGTGGATTGTGTTCTATTCAATGTTTTAGTAGTTTAAAGGATAACTAGTGATTATATAGTGCGATACTGTACGAATATCTTTGAGGAAAAGTCCAGCTTTCTGTTATATTGTGATAAGAATAAATTTTATTACGTAGGTAAGTTGAAAAATAAGTTTCCCCTGTCGACTGTGGTCAGAGTTGTGTATGAAAGTCAAAAAATAGAATGAGACATTAAAGATATGACATACCTTTATTTTATTATTCTCGTACGAGTACGTTGAGACATTTGTCATATCGCTTGATAAGCTTCAAAAAGCCCTCCAGGAAAAAATCAGGGCTTTGCATATGGAAGAAGCGTTGAACAGCTATGGGCGAAAGGCGACACAGCAGGAAAACGTGCAAGTCACCGATACACATTGGGTAGAGGTCGCTGCAAACAAGCAGATGGACTGTTACAGTGCCTGCGCAAAGCGGAGACCAGCCTCTCATTTCAGCCCGGTAGGTATGGAGAGAAGGTGCGTTTTGAATTAGTGGTCAAGGAGGAAGTGAAGCGGTTATCCGCTATGAATGGGCACGTGAGTATTAGGAACAGAAATTCATAACCGCCTCGTGGAAGTCTATGGGCCAGGGTGTGATGTCCAAGCAAATGGTGGCGGGATGGTGTCGCACATTCAGTGATGGACGTCAGCAAGTGGAGGACATACCGAGAGCTGGATGGACGCGCACGGCCACTACAGATGCAAATATCAGGAAGGTGGATGACATGATTAGAGCGAACCGGCGTATCACCATCGATGAAGTAGCAGAAGAACTTGGAATCTCACATGAGCGAGCTCAAAACACCATCCACGACATTCTTTGATACAGAAAAGTGTCAGCACGATGGGTGCCCCGACAACTGACCTCGACACACAAGGAACAACGCATGTGGGTCAGCCTGGAACATCTCGTGCGTTACCATGAAGATGGCAATGACTTTCTGTTTCGGATTGTGATGGGGGATGAAACGTGGGTCCACCATTTCACGCCAGAATCGAAAGCCGCATCTATGGAGTGGAAACATCTGTCATCACCTGTCCGAAAGAAGTTCAAGACAACTCCCTCTACAGGTAAAGTGTTCCTCACACTTTTCTGGGATGCCCAAGGAGTTTTGTTGCTGGACTTTTTGGAGGTTGGAACCATCAATGCTACGCGCTACTGTGACACCCTGTCGAAATTGAAAGAGGCAATTCGGAAAAAGCGGCCTGGCCTTTTCACATCTGGTGTTCTGCTGTTGGATGGCAATGCCAGACCACATTCGGCGACGGCAACGCAAAACCATATTGCAACTCTTGGTTGGAGCGCCTACACCATCCGCCATACAGTCCTGATCTCGCACCAAGCGACTTCCATCTGTTTCCGGCTTTGAAGAAAAAAATTCGGGGGAAGGTGCTTTGGAAACAATACTGAAGTGAAACAAGCCGTTCAACGCTTCTTCCATATGCAAAGCCCTGATTTTTTCCTGGAGGGCTTTTTGAAGCTTATCAAGCGATATGACAAATGTCTCAATGTACTTGGTACCTATGTGGAAAAATAAAGGTATGTCATATCTTTAATGCCTCATTCTATTTTTTGACTTTCATACACAACTCTGACCACAGTCGACAGGAGAAACTTATTTTTCAACTTACCCTCGTAACTTTTTATTGGACTTGTGCATTGAATCTATTATGAACCCATACGCACGCAACAATATAATGGTTAAAGAGGCTTGGTGCCATATTTTTGGGACTAGGTCTGGATTCCAAAGAATGCTTGGATGTTCACAAGGGCCATGCCAACAACATCAACTTTAGTCTTGTGTTCGATACTTGCAACCACATTAGTAAAAATTGCCAAATTTTCAACTTGTTCCTAATTCTGACAACCATGCTCCTAATAATCCTTCAGTTAAGCAATTTCACCATTTTCATATATGTTATTCTTGCTGTATTCTAAGTTCCAACTGTTTTCATAGACAAATCGTGATATTTTTTGTCTTCAGCTCAATTTTAAAATATTGCTTGTGGAACTTGTCAGGAATACAGTATTTTGTTACAAGACCATTAAAGGAAACAGTAATGACATTAAGTTTGGTAGATAAAAAGTGCACAGTACTCAGTCTGTGTAATTCTGTAATATTTTTTAAGCAAAAACAGATCACTTAACAGATCACAGCAAAAGCTTATTTTATTTTTTAATATATAATACTTATGTAATAATTAAAATATGTAATTTAAAATTTTTATTTTTTTAATATATATGTTGATTATGTTTGCTGATTTTTCATAAATACCAAGAACTTGGGAAGGCTTTAAAAAAATAGTGAAAATCATCAACTTTCAACTGATAAGTAATTTTTACTTTTTCATCTGTAAAAATCTTTCAGATTGCACCAGAATAATTATATGTGAATATCCATTTTCCTCACAATAAAATACATGTATTTGTTCTGATGTTACTGTCAGACAAATTGTAGGGTTTTATTTATTTTTACTAACAGTTACTTTAATTTGTGAGACTTTCCTGGTTTCTTTTATTCCCTCGTGTTTCCTCGCCAGGATGTAAATGAGATGGGGTGAACGAGATTATTTAAACTGTTGGAACGAAAAGTTTCACAAAGCATGATTTCAATATTATGAGCACACAGTGCTATTTTCTTCCAGCTGCTATATCGGCCATGCATTCTTGCCGCCAAGTTATTATTCTGAAAGTGGGAGGTTCTGAGTCAATCTGTTAGCTTAAATTGAACTGAGTAGTATCGCACTACTCTTAACCTTCATATTTAGTGTTACATTATCCTTTAAGTTCTCACCGCAAGTGGTCGGTGTTTGTAAGCGTGCAAGTCCGTGCAGTATATAAATTATTATTTGTTCAATAAAAGAGTATTTTATACCTTTCCACTGGTTGTGTTCATCAAGCTTGTGCAAGAACTCACAAGGATCAGCATTTAGGTAGATCTAGTTAAATATTATGATAGTTAAAACAACAAGATCTTACAACATGACATGAATCATGAGATAAAAATTAAAACTACTCCACCATCTCTTAGCCTCTCATATGAAAAAAGATTATTAAAAAAAAACACAATGCTACACGAGTTAGATTCATATTTAAACAAATTTATGTTCTTAAAGAAAAAAGCTGTTTTGCTGTTACTTTAAATGCCGTTAGAGAATTTTGGTCACTGAAATAAATGGTGCAAATTTTAATGAACTCGTTTGTCATATTATCTGAAAGTTCACTCATATGCTATATTCATAACTTGCACCAATTAATTATATAACTAAATTTAGAAAATGATCTGTTTTCCCAAACTTCTATCAGAATGAATGGCACAAGTGTGGCGAATTGTCCACCAATTTTCATGATCATCAGGAAAATACATAAATGCCTAAGTATAACTATTACTCTGAAATAGTTTTATTTTTCTAGTTAAAAATGTCTAGTATAGTGTTAAAAACGTATCTGCTAAACAAAATATATTGCTCGGCCAGAGGCACTGACATCTTAAACTGGCCATCATATACATGGAAGTTGATCATCATAGATATAGATTGTAATTTTATAATAACTTCCTTAAACAAGGAAGCAATAATAATAATGAAACTGCACCATATTTCTTCAGAATTAACTCTTTGCATAGAAAAATTACCTCTTCCGTTTCTTTGTTGGGCTTGTATTTCGGTCATCTTGATTACCAAGGACTGTGCTCAAGTTTTCGGTACTTCCAGCTCCAAGCTATAAAAATTAATTTTTTTAATTACCAATACATTAATACTTGCACATAATAATTATATACCTCTTTTCAAAACTGCATTTTGGTGCTAAATAAAAAACTTCATGCTATCCACCTCAATGAAGCTTGTTGTAAATACAGCAATTAGTCTGTTAATTCCTATGATTTGAATTACTAGCTACATTCATTAATTATGATATTTTATTTAAAAAAATGGTACCTTTCCATTATGCACCTAACACAATATTTGTGTGTGTGTGTTTATGCTGCAATGCATTTTGGCAAGTTTTTTAATCATAAACAATTTCTAGCTAAGAATAGTTTACAGATGGCAATATAGAAAGAGTGCCCATGAAGTAACCACACAATTTCCTAAAATAAGAAAAAGATTATTAACCTTCAAGTAGATTTATCTCCTTCCAAATAATCGCCAAAGAAGCCTATACAATTTTTCAGGTCATCGAAACATTGTTTATAGGCGCTGGAACTAATCATTCACAAAATATGCATAACATTTGGTTTAATATCTGAGACATAAGAAGTTTTCAAATCTCTGTAATTTCAAGGCCCTCTTAAACTTTGGAAAAAGGAAAAAAAAAAAACTGGTGATAAGACAGGAGAAAATGGTAGGTGATTTACTACTGCAACTGAAGGCTTAGCAAGATACCGCTGTACACACTATGCTAAATGAGATCTAGCATTATCATGCAAGAGAAACCATTGCCATCAAAAAGCTCAAAAAGAATTAAAAAGTTTCTTCCTACCTCACCTTATCCTGTTTCTTAACTGAAAAAATCACCTCCTTGTAAAAATACTGTTTAGTTGACTGATTTTCAGGAACAAATTCATGGCAAATAAGTCCTTTGTAATTTTTTTTAAAAAAAGCAATAAGCATCACCTTAGTCTTTGATTTTGCACATCAATGCTCTATTTTAGTCCAAAGGGTGTTAGCCCAAAAGGGCTATTAATTTCGTTTTGACATTTCACGTTGAAAACTTTAAATGTCGGTTCACCTTTTTAAATTGTTGCCACCAAATATTATTGCCCTGTATTAAAGAATATGTATAAATGTATGTTTCTCGCATTGGGGTAAAACAATGGTATCTAGAGCACAATGGTATCTGAAAATTTTGAATAACATAATCCTCCACCGAATATGGGCATCTGGAAGCCCTAATTTGGAATATGTTTTTATTATTGATTTCATATTTCATAACACTTTAACTCATTTCTTATTAATAAACTCAAGGATTTCAAAGCGAGCAATGTACGGGGGAAAAACAACATTTTTATCTCCAGCGTGCAAGACTATGTATCGGAAATTCTAAAGATATGTTTCATTTTTAAATTATTTTGCAATATTGCTATTTTATGGTTTAAGTGTGAAGAACATGATATTTAATAAATAAAGGTAACTCACAAAACGTTAAATATATGCCCCTTTGGGCATAATATAAAATCTGAAAGCTTACAGATTTTTTTCTTTTTCTTTTTTTTTTTTTTATGGAAGGAAACAGTCCTTTCCACTGTGCACTTCATCTTTTTGTTTCCAGTGATATTATAGACATGAGGTCTAATCTCCCTCTATGATACACAAATTGTCCCATCTCACACTAATCAGCAAATTTTCACAGCAAGTTTTTCCGTCTTTTTTTTGTTCTGTCAAAATCAAAGGCACAAACTTTCCTCATTTCCAATTAAAATTAGCATACAGTATTCTTTGCTTATCCCAAGCATATCTAAAAGTTGCTGAGTTGTTAGACATGTATCAGCTTTTACAAAAGGATGAATTTTCTCCATATTTTGCTCATTCCTTGAAGTTGAAGGTCGCCTTATCTTTGGCCTTCACGTTTCTTCAATGCCTTCATGTTTTCATTTAATGTAATTGTATCATTCATACACTTGTGTTCTCGATAAAAATGATGCATCATCATCAACTGTTCAAATCAACTTCAATGTTTTGTTAGCAGACTTTTGGGTTCTATCCCGTTTTGAGGACCATAAAAAAATTGCAGCGAAAATGTATGCGCAAAAGCGCTAAATCTAGCAAATGAGCCCATTTAACAGCGCACCAAATCTAGCATACGTGCTGATTTCAGATTGTGTAAGTTTATATACTTCTATATTTCTTAAAACGCCACTGAAATACTAGTTTAATTTTCAAATCCTTTTTTGATATCCTATAGATTCAACAATTTGAGAATTGCCCATCACAATAAGTCTGCAATAGAATTTTAGGTAAAATGCAGAATCGCCCACTGCGTGATGCATTTTTAAGAAATGCACATACTCGGTATCCATGTACACATCGACCTATTTTCACTTTTAAAAAAATCCCAGAATTACACAAAAATGGCAATGCGCACACCCTTGACTTTATCTATGTACACATCGACCTATTTTCACTTAAAAAGTAAAAAAAATTGACAAAAATCCAATTGGTTTTACCCTTGTAAAATGCAGCAAACAAATAAGTGGGCGATTCTGCACTTTACAATTAATTCTTTCAAAGGAAAAGCATCATTCATTATAGAAAATTATGTTTGAACAACTAATGAGATGAAATCATGCTTTAGCAATAACTTGGTAGCGAAATAGCGATGCAGGCATCCATTCAGTTATGTTTAGCAATTTTTATATAAATTGTAATAATGATCTGAAACAGGTATTTACTCTTATGCTTCCATTCAGTCATATATAGCCTTTTTTATATAAATGATAATAATAAAAATGTATTACATGAAATTAACCTTTCATCTAAATTAAAACATCAATCTTAGATAGTTATTTACTATTATATTTCCTTTCTTGCATTAGGGTTGCCAGAATTATTTTTGGCAGCACTGGCATCAACAATAGTTTGGCAATTTTTTACGGCTCTCAAAATTGAATAGTACCGATTTTCCTAATTTGTAAATTAAACTTGAATGTTATAATGTTGCTGCATCTGAAAGAAAATTCTTTTGTAAATGTCTCAGTAAATGAAATGCCTCCAGTGTTTTGATATGCAAACGACAAACAAGAGTAGAAATATCCCTCTTACTAAACATATGTTTATTTTTTCACTTTTTTATTTTATCATTTGATCTTTTAATTTGTACAGTTATTTTATGGGTACACCTTGTATTACACAAACACACACACATAGATTACACAATCATTCAGTGTGCATTTGGGTTCCCTTTCAAAAATGTCAAAGAGTGTGGCAAGTGCATAAAGTATCAAAAAGTGCATAAACAAAAGAAAATCACCAAAAGAATGATTAAATATAAATAAATAAAATTTAATATTAAATATTATAAATCAGGTTAGTTACTTGCACACTAATCATAACCATTCCCTTACCTACAATTTTATGATTTGTCTTCAAAAAAGTAAAATGCACATTATTAAAACAAAATGAGTTTTATCAATTCTTGTGTAAACTAATATATGATATGTGTTTAATGAAAATTTAATAAAAAATAACCTAATTTAAGTATGCACACGAGCAACTTTGCACAATATATGCTATGTATAATGTATTTAAAATTCTCTTTTTAAAAACTTTTAAGAAATAGTATTTTGACTCCGTAGCTCATTTCCTGATTTAACATCACTATCTGAGGAAAACATGATTTTCTGTAAACCTTCCCACACTGGATGGTTGTAACTGAATGGTATAATCTCAGATTTTTGTCACCGCTGAAAATTTTCAAAACGTTACCTTATAAGAAAAAATACAATGGGTAGAAATATTCACAAATTTAAAAAGCAGCATTAGAATATACAAAAGCGATAACACTGATTGTACCCAAACTACATTGTAATAGTTTAATCTTTAAAAATTTCTGATATGTAACCATATTTACTTCACCATCCTTCGAAATCGTATCCATTTTACAGCAAACTTTGAAGTATAAACTTTTTCATAGAGAACTTCATTACTTCTTGCCTCATAAGTATAAAGTATGACGTATATAAACAAACTAGAGTACACGCAAGAGGTAAAAGTTAAATTATAGTGATGACTTTCAAATTTTGCGACATTTGCCCAACTTGCTGATAAAAAAGGTATGTGATCGAGTTAACAATAATATACCACAAAACCCATTAATTTCAATGAAGTATTAGTTGAAAGAATTTTAATTAAAATGAAAATCATTTGTTTAGATAGTATTATTACTTGTTTAGCTAATAATTCCCGTCTTTTCTGTGACTTTTCTTTCAGTTTCTTTAGAGTTTCCATTTCATAAACCAATGTATATAATCATCTTGTGCTACCGGTAAATATTTCACAGTGTAAACATGGTGGCGTCCATATTTCTAGAATTTGAGTTGTTTACTGCTTCTTATGTAAATTCCGTTCTATATATTATATATAATTACAAATGAAAATACAGAACATAAATTTAGGAAATGAAAAATAGCGCAACCTTGGTTCCCAAAATGTAATAGAATAACAGTCAGTTCAACATCAATTTCGGACTGCCTATTGAGTTGAACTTTTCTATGCGACCATTGAACCAACTTATGATGATGTGAGCATAAACAGGTTTTTTTGAAAAAAAAAAAGAAAAAGAAAAAGAAGAAGAAGATCCACTTAGATATGAATTGCACAGAGAACAAATTTGTAGCAATCATGTCGCAAAACAAGATTCAAAAAATGCAACCTATTTTTGAAATAAACACATGGGAACTAAATGCAAACACGTTTACTAACTTAGGGGTCTAGCTGGACACCGGTCGAGATCGATATCGAAAAACCATCGGGATTCTCTTTCTACTCGATGGCAGACGGGAGAGCGAGTTTGACCCTCTTCATATTCCGTCGGCGGAAAAAGAAGTGGAAATTCCGTGCGGTGAAAGTGACGTTTATTGCATAGCAACCAGTCTGTCTTACCTCTACATTGCTCAAGGCTCAGGGGATTGGAGGTAGTTTGTTATTATAAGTGAGAATCATCTCGGTTCTGCGGAGCTTATGCTTCACGCACGCATAATACATATTTTTTTCAATACGGCAACCTTCGTCTATTGGCGACGAATGTGGACTTCAGGCGAAAAACGTGTACAGTCTGTCTACCATAAGAAAAGCTCTCGTCAGTTAGTCTGCAGCTGTCTGTTGCCGTAGAAACGAGCCTTAATCCATTTTCCGCAGGGATGTCTTGAAGACGTATGATAACTCTTTTCCCCTCAGCCAACAGTCGCCAAAACAAAATAACAACAAAGCAACCCTTAGTTCCCCCCTATATGAAATATATACTAGCCCTGTTACTATAGCGACCGCCACCCGCCAGACACTGTGGCGGGACTGTTCTCGTAGACAGACAGTACATATTCTTTGCTTCAGGCACGCATTGTCAATGACTGCGAATTATGTATGTGTTCTTTTTTCCTTATACAAAAATTAAATGTTTAGAAGTATTCATAGTTCAAAAGTATCCATAAATAAATATTCAGTACTGTTTCCATTAAGAATTACTTGTTTGTTATTCAGATAAACCCAGGAACGAGGAATTCATTTACTCGGGTCTTAAAAGCCTTATGCGGAAACCGACGTTGTTCTTTGTTGACGTGTTTATGTTAATACTGTAGATACCGTGTTGATGCAAGGCCAACTAGATATCGGGTGAGACTAAATTTCAACTTGGCAGGAAATTTTGATTGGTTGGCTTTGGTGACGTCATTTTGACGTATTTAAACTCTGCCTCTCATGTGGTTTACAATCAAAACTCATCATGCGCCATGTTTGGTCATGACCAAAGATGGGTTCTTCTCTTGCTTTACCAAGATATCCGTATAGCCAGGGCTTAAATTGAGTCGGAGCCCACCGGAGGCTGGCTCCGATACTTCTTAGTTTTAGGAAAAATTCATAATTTTAGCCGGAGACCTAAATAAGAAGGCTTTAGCACTTCTTTTATGTAACTGAACAATAATTTCAGTAGAAATCTGGTCTTGGAAACTTTATTTTAATAATAAAATTATATTAAAAATTGCTTATTAAATTCTAATTTATCACTTTGCATACTATTAAATTTTAATTATTTAATTACTTTACCATTAATTTTTTTAATAATGAATTATTTAATTTTTAATTGTTAATGATTTGATTAGTCATCTTATTCTCTTATTTATTCTTGTTCCTCTTTCCTGAAGGTCTTCTATAGGGCTCGGTACTTCTAATTTTTGAAATTAAACCCTGCGTATAGCTGACCGTTTTGTTTTTCTAATATGGCTTCCTTAGGGATTATGACAGCCATATACTGGTAAAAGGCCTTAGACCATTTACCAAAGCAAAGATCCGAAATGGTTTATATGGTAAATAAGAGAGTTCGTAAGGAAGGTTATATTGTAAGAAGTTCGTTTGGTATGAAAACTTCAGTTTTCATAAAGGAAATGGATTAAATGCAGATATTTTTTCCCCATGAGAGAAAAGTCCTAAAACTACTTCAACGTTTTATTTGTAAATGAAGATAAAAATAGCGCCTGATATGTGTATGTACTAAAGAGGATTTTATTATTTATGAAATAATAAGGACAAAATACAAAATTTGAATTGTAGTTTAAAAATATGTTTTTATTTGATTAAAACACTCGAGAGCTAACTGCCTACAAGGAAGGATGGCCTCCTGGAGAACTTTCTAAGGGAACTGGCTCATATACACATTACACATGAGGAAAACACGAAAACGCCTATGCAACCACCCCAAATCATGTTTAGAATAAAAATTAATTTGTTATTTATTATCATTTGCGATTATTAGTGGTAAATATGTATTGAAATCCATTTAGAGCAAGATCTGCAAAGAATGAATGCGGAGATCTAAATTCTCAGAAGAGATATGCAATTATCTGATTAAATCATAGAATTTGCTTTGAGTTAATCCATATTATGTAACGTTATCAAGTGGCTAAAGTATAAACACTGGTAATTAATTCTCCTTCCTGATTTGTAGTAGTTGAATGAAATGATCAAAGATAATTTCATGACAAAGAAGCACTTAAAATTCTATCAATGTGAATCTGCTTGAATGTTGAGTCATAAGGTACAAGATTCAAATATATGTTAGAATGTGTCTGCGGTCAAAAAAGGGTTGGGTACCCTTACATTTTGTGTTCATTAAATAATCTTGTACAAATGATTAGGTAAGTTTTTTTAATCTTTTGCCATAGTTGATCCATTGCATGTAATATAGTCTAATTCATGCTTTTTTACCCTATGTATCAAGATTTCTTATTATATACAGATAATATTAAGTTTTGGTCATTATTACTGTCAATAATCAATATGAAGAATACATTTGTGATTTAAATGAAAACGATTGTTCAGTGTTTACAGACTCTGTGATGTAATGAAAGTTTATAATAAAATTAAGATTTCTATGGTTTATTTTCTTAACCCGCGAGCACACGCAATGGGTATGTCATACACATGGGCATTTTCTTTTTGTATATTTATCACTTATTCTTTCATAAAAGACGAAACTTGGTGTAGCTGAGTTCAAGGCCACATACTTAAATGCTGGAAATTCCTAAGGTGAAGGGCACGGTTTTTTAGGACAGATTGTTTGGGCATCTCATACCCGCGGTGTACTCATTTTCTCAGTGAGTCACTTCGCACTTCTCGTTTTCAAGCTTTTTTTTTTTTTTTTTCAAGTAAGGTTTTTCTTGAGTAAGCATGGCGCCGTATTTCCTTACGATGAATAGATGAAAGATTGAGAAATATTCTTAAAACAGTTTCTTCTGATGAGGATCATTTAGTGAAGACGATGAATATGTTGATGACGAAGAATATAATAGTCATCATGATTCTCCATAGAGAGTAGTGATTCAGATACAGAACAGAAAAGGAAATTTTGCATGTAGCAATGAGTTTTATGTTGGAAAAAATGAGTAAAATGGAACAAAAATAAATTCCGGACTGTTAGAATTGGAGCCAAATATATAACTAAACTCCCTAAATACGAAGTATTCAAAGACGTCTCAACACCTTTAGATTCTGGTCACTGCTTTCGATAAGATATGTAAAACATGTGTCGACAATACAATATTTATATTGATTGTACGTGGAA